GGCACCGAAGTGAACGGGATACCAGATCATCGCTCTAAGCCCTCTACCTCGTCGCACTTCGCTTACAACCACAGGATTGTAACTATGTTGACCACACATTCATTCATGTTTATCTAGTTTTAAGATCAGTGCTGTGTTGTCTCTAGCCAGTGGCGCAGCCAGAATTTTAGTTGCGGAGCGTGTTCGACCATTTAGGACAATAAAAAGTTTAAAATTGGACCCCAGGGAGAAACACTAATTCTTGCACTTGCGGTGCGTTATGTGGCATGCACAAAAGTGTTATGAATTTCTGCTAAACAAACAGAATCATACCTTAGATCATACATAGTTCTTTTACACTTCAGTTTCTGTCTCCAGAAACTGAAGTGTTTCTTCAGTTTCTGCTTTCTTCACAAATTGTGCAGCTGAACTATTATTTGTTAGTGCTTCACCTGCTGGTCATAATGACAACTCCAACGTACCCGCTATTCTCCGCCATCGTGAACGGCAGTACTCAAGCAAGCAGCGCCTTTATGCAACTGTCAGTTAATTTATAAAGGGAAGGGGGGTTATAAGCATGTCTGTCCGTCCTGCTCACGCTGCAACCAGCTGGCAAACGGCACACAATGTTATCAATTTCATGGCATCTTGTGTCGCTGAGTGCCAAACTTCTTATCCAGAGCGATCGTCAGGAAGGCCAGTTTCAGCCGTTTCGCTTGCTTAGTAGTTCACAAAACGGAACCAGTTACTATCCCCTTCCTTTCCTTACGGGAATATGCAAGCCAGAGAGAATGACAGCAAAAGGTGACAGTAACTTCTACAGCGACAGCTGTTAATGGCTCACTTGGCCGGATTCTGGCTGACGCCATTGGCAAATACTTCTGGCACGGTGTAAGATATACCCTTTAAGTGAGGACAAAGTGCTGCTAAATACACGGTGAGATGAATCCGATAACATTCGGTCGACGAGCGCTCAAAAAGGCCGCATCATCCCGCGGCCACCCTGCCCACGGCTGAGTGCTATCGGTCGGCCAAATGGCACAACTGCGAGAGCGGACAAAATTCCCCCAAGGAAGCAAAGAAACAAGTCCCAAGATGACTCCAGTTCAACGAGCCGTCTTCATGAGCACCCTACTGAAAAAAAACATTTGGCGCCCATATGAAAATAAATGGGTCCATACCGGTAACCGTTTAACCATACTGGTCACCAGTTTGTCAAAGGGGTCGCCCGTATGGCTCAAAGGGGTCCCCCGTATGGGCCATAACGGTCACCTATTTGCCAAACGGGTCGCTCGTCTGGGCAAATGGGCGACTCGTTTGGGCAAAGTTGTCGCACGTTTGCTGAAACCGGCGACCATGCTGCAAACTGCACCGGTTTAATCAAACGGCTCTCCGGAGCCCGTTTGATATTGAACGTACAAATCGGCGGCGTGGGCACGCCTAGCGTTTCAGCCGTGGCAGCCAATGTTTTCCGGAAGGCTGGGAGCGCCGGTTCATCGATTTCAGATCGTCCGCGTAATGCAAGTAATTATATTTATATTTCAATTGCGCTGATTTTCGATTATACTGCAACTAAAACTAACACCTTCTTTTGTTTTACGTAAATGCGCGACGTTGGTGAGTCGATATTTTTGACAGACCTTTAATACTTTGTCCATCTTTGTTGCCTCAATTTACTTATTCAGCTCGAATCTCTCTCGCAGAAGACGCGACCGCGTGAAAGAATGTACATCTAGACTCCGTTTCACTTTAATTCAAGACGCAGCGAAGGTAGCACGCGTACACGCGGCTGCAAGAACATCGAGCATTGCGAGAGCACGCCCGCCGTTGCAGCACTCAAACTACGAGCTTGCGCTGGGCACTTTCTTCGCTCGGGCGCAAGCCGAGCTTCTGGCCGCCCCGCCGCCATCTCCAAAGTTCGAGCGCGCGCGCGCGCGCGCGCGTTTGTTCTTCGGGACTACAAAAACGCATCTCCCTCGAATGCCTGGGGAGAGGGAGAGGGGCTGTCCCGGTGGTCCCAGAGCCTTTTATACTGGGAGAGTTCGGCGGATGGGCGGGACTTACGGCCTGCCAGGTTTAGCGGATTCAGCGAGTTCCGCTCCCGCCATGATGTGCCTCCCGGCAAGTGGGTCCCCATTGACGTGCGATGTATACGCGAGTAGGTTTTGCCGTTGGCGCTTTTGTTGCCGTGAGGAGAAAATTAGAAAGCAACCATTTAGTGATTCGGTGCTTTATTCATGTAAAAATTAGCAAAAAAACCGCCCATTTACGAACAGCACTCATTTATAAATGGGGAATTGCTCAAAAATGCCCAACGTCCGACACAGCTCAGCGGCCTTGTGCGTATTTTTCAGTGGGTAAGTTCGATTGTCCGGATCACTCTCCGACTGTTTACCACACCACAAGGTTTGTGCACCATTGTGTGGAACACGGCGGACCGATCGTGATTTTCCGCCGTGCTTCTTCACCTGCCGGTCTTTTGGTGTGTGTGTGTGTGTGTTTTTTTCTGACATTGTTTGGTTTGCTGTGAAAAAGCAGCGTCGGCATCGCGTTGTGCCTGAGCTTTTTGGGATCGACAACCTCTTTCGAATTCACTGTCTGCGAAGTGCACCTCGAAAAAAGAACAAAAAAAAAAACGCATGTCAAATAAATATTTACTACGCGTATTAAAAAACAAAAACAAATAAAGGTATCGGTAGCGAAACAAAAGCGCTTGCGAGACGGCGAAGCTACGAGGCCGCTTCTAAAAACTCGAGGGTAGAGAAAGCTACGAGAGTGAGATGAACGCTTTGAACATGCCCACGGAGCGCGTGCGCTCGTACAGTGCACGCGTCGTTCAGCGCGACATGCACACGCTCGCAGCGATCGGCTGCGGTTCCAATTTGGCAGGCTAGGCAGCTCGCAAGTATCAGGTCTTCCGCGGCAGGAAACGGCTTCGTGATCAACGGACACTCTTACCATGACGCTGCCGCGTCAAGTCGCTGCACAGTTTCAGTCAAAATAAAACGCGTTTAAGTCACAAAATAAATTAATTATAATATTACCTCGCACCACCGAGAACTCGAAATCGGCTTCCACTTTGCCCTCCTTGTTTTGGCCTCCCGGATCTTGTGCCTTGCACGGTTTTTCTTTTCCTTGCGGGAACCACTACATCCTGAACCCTTTTTTCGCGCTGTTCGAGCACCCAACGGCACTACAGCACCCCATTACGCTTTCTTCTAACGTCTCGCGGAGCCCAGAACGATCACTTTCACCGTCGTCTCTCGCTCCACGCTACTCAGACGGCTCCCGACTTGAGACGACAAGGCACATCATGGCGGACGACGAGACCCGGAATGCGATGCGCACAGTTGCCAGACTGTTCGATCAGTGCTGCCAGACTGGCGGCTGGATCAATAGACCGCCGAACTCTCCCAGTATAAAAGGCTCTGGGTGGTTCCAGCGCCTTGACCTCGCCCCCTCCCTCCTCTCTTGTCACCCCTGTCACGTGACCCACAGCAGCGCGCGAGCTACACGCTGATAAGCATCGAGATCCGGAAGGGTGCGCCTTGCAGCCGCTTTTTTCTTTGTCTGCTTGTTGTCAGTTGCTGCTCGAAGTTCGCTCGTCCTACCTGCTTCAATCTGTCGCCTAACCGTGCGGTCTTATTGGGATGTCTCTCGAAAACGTATTGGATGTGCACCAAAGCTATCAGTGTTCGAAAAGACCCACGTGTATGTCGGCAACGAGCGATTCTTCAAAGAAGTCGCAAATTCTCGCGGTTTGGTTGGGTTCGGCAAATGACAGCTTGTGCGCCGCATCGTGTTGAAACTTCCAAGGAGCCGTTCCCTCTCGTTTGTGTTTCTGTGGTTGTCCTGCTTTCACCGTGTCGACAAATATCACGGATTACATCTTTCAAGTCTGCTATTGTTATGGTAAGTGCACTGCAACCTACGTGTTGGCAACGATTGACCGTTCTTCTACGCGTACTCTTCTAGATTATCTAAAGAATTATGCAGCGCCTATTCGCGAGGCAGCGAGGAGAATAATTTCTCCGAAAGTCTACCTGTATAGTGTTCACAGATCGTTTGCACGTTTGTACTTGTCTACAGAAGAGGTAATAAACTTCGAGGAGAATTGAAAACAATCTTTTGTGTCGGTTTTCCTGTCCACTTACAAGCACCTACGCGAGTGCATTTGTTCTACGTGTTTTCTCCATGTTATAAATACGTTTATGAGTATCGGGACGTCTTAAATATGTTTAAAATAACCAACCTCCCAGACGATACCCATTTAGGGCTAGCGCATAATTTGCCAATTCGAATGGCACGTTCAAACGCGTGGTCACGTGCCATGCTGAACGGGTACTCGTACCATACGGCACCAGTATCAAACGAGCACCTGTATCAAACGGGTACCGTTTCGAACGGGTACCGTTTCCAAACGGGTACCCGTATCCCATAATCACGTTTGATCCAAACGGATCGACAAGTTTGATTCAAACGGGCGACCAGTTTGCCACCCGTTTGAATTTCAAATGGTTTTTTTCAGTAGGGCAGCTTGAAATCAAAGCAACCAGCGACCTTTACCTGGCAGCTGCGTAGAGCGTGTTGTACATGCCTGAAGATTATCTCACACCCTGGCTTCTGGGAATATTATCAGTTAATGAGAAAGGAGCTGATAACATCTTTTAGAAAGTGATGCGGTCAATGTGCTCAGCTGCTCCACAGCCGATAGCAAGCAGTCTGTGAGCGCGCAGAGGCTTCATATCTCTCCTGGGTCCACGCAAAACAGCCCTAACCGACTGATCACTAAGCGCAACCTGCAATGACGAGGCAGTGCCAGCAGAACCGAGGGTTGGCGTTTCTATATCTCTTCAGCATCAGTTGGCTAAGAACATTTCTACGGTCTCCGTGAGCCAGTTAAGGTGCCAGGAAGAGCACTCTGACGGTATGTTGTCACATGCCTCGTGTCATCGCTCTCAGGTGGGCTCGGTGGCTGTGCCACAACGCAGACCACTAATCCGTTCAACTTTTTCGTGCAGATGTTCTCCTTCGTCCGCGCTTTGCTCCCGGTGCTGGCTTCCTCGGACGGCACGACAGCATGCACAATCTGGAGCAACGAAAATCAAGCAAGCGGCTACCATCCGGCTATCAGCAACGCCTCGTCACGTCTGGCAGACTCGTCACTCAAGCAATTGATCCTCGGCCAAGTGTGGAGGGCCCAATCGTCATCAACAGCCACTTACCCGCCCACTATAAACCAGCCGGCGCAGCCGAACTCGCTCTGTGGGCTCGGTGGCTGTGCCACAAGGCAGACCACTAATCCGTTCAACTTTTTCGTGCAGGTTAGTAAACCGTGCAGTCTTTTCTCTAAAAAAACAAGTAACTACTTTTTGATACAGCTGCCGAGCCCGCAGTGTTCCGTTGTTATTTCGATTGAGTGCTTCCATACCATCCGTTCCTTGCTGTTGCAATCGGGTGACATCGAAACTAATCCTGGTCCTGATACTAACGCCATACTAGCCGAGCTAAAAAGACTATTCACCGGTCAATCGAAATTACTTGCAGAGGTACAAGACCTTAAAACCCAGCTTTTAACAACAGATAAAGCCATATCAGATTTGAGCGGGCGCAAGACTGCGCTCGAAAACCAATATCAAAATCTCGCCCCCGTGCGCACCAAATTAGAAAATGTGAAAATCGAGACGGCTCAGACGGCCCGTTTGGTCTGTGGCCTGGAGGCGCGCTTCGACGATGCCGAAAATCCTTCTCGACTCAACAACCTTAATTTCTATGGCATCCCTAACTCCACTGGACCAGAAACGTTTGCCCAATCTGAACAACTCGTCATCCGGCACTGTCGTGATCACTTGAACATAACCATAGACCCCACAGAAATAGAGCGTGCACATCGTCTTGGACATCATACATCTGACCGCCCTCGCCCAGTAATCGTTAAATTCACGTTCTATAAGACAAAAGACACCATACTAGCTAATGGCCGCAAGTTCAAAGGAACAAGTTTCAGTGTTGGCGAAGACTTTTCTCGGCCCGTCCAAAATGCTCGCGAACACCTACTTGCGTTTGCAAAAAGCAAAAATACGCCATTTTCTTTACGGTTTAAAACACTACTCATGGGCCCGAAACGCTATGTTTTTGGTGAACCATCACAGACTGTAAAGGAAACAGCATAGCAATTGCCCCGTCAGAAGAAAATAACAGCCCCCTCTCGGATTTCTACCGAAAATAATCTTTCATTTTCTGTAATCTTCACCAACGCGCGAAGTTTTCTTCCGAAACGAGAAATTTTGTCTAATCTCGTGTTGTCCTCCTGTAGTAATTTGTTGATATTAACCGAAACCTGGCTGTCTAGAGAAATCACTGATGCTGAAGTTCTGGCCGATTTGCCGGACTTCAGCCTTTATAGAAATGACCGCCAAGCCACACGAGGAGGAGGTGTTCTCATCGCCGCACACCAGCAGTTGTCATGTTCTATTGTTAACATTACATCCGACCTTGAAATACTATGGATCATATGTCGCGCTTCACCTCAGACGGTTCTTTTGGGAGTCTGCTACAGGCCTCCCCATACTTCTCCTGACTTTTCTTGTAAACTTAATAACATCCTTACTGAATTTGCCTCAACGTACCCGAATGCGCATATCTTTCTCTTTGGAGACTTCAACTACCCGCAAATAGACTGGAGCAACCAGGTCCCCTCAGCTATAGGCAATGAATCCGCAAAAGATTTTATTAACGTATGTCTTGATTTTAACCTTGTTCAACTAGTATCCGAACCCACACGTGTTTCACGGGATTCTGCAAACATCTTATATCAAATACTAACCAGTCATCCCGACAGCCTATCATCGGTTACTTACCTCCGCGAAATCAGCGACCACAAAGTAATTCATCCTACCTTCAACTTTTGCTCGGTACGACATCAAACACGCGATAAAAGAATTCGTCTTTATGATAAGGTAAATTATGAAGTAATAAACAGAGAGCTAAACGCCTTTCTTCGAATTTTTGGAGCATCATTTTTTAATCGCTCTATTTATACAAACTCGATAATGTTCAGAAATAAATTAAATGAACTTGCAAATAAATTCATCCCAATAATTACGTTCCGTGAGAATCGACAGAAACCCTGGTTTACAAAGTCTTCAAAAAAGCTAGGTAACAAAAAAAACGTCTTTTCCGCTCGGCCAAGCGGAATGGAAACCCCTGCGCATGGGAAAAATACTACGCAGCTGAAGACTCCTATCTGGCATTTATACGTAACGCAAAGCATTCCTTATTTTTTTTTGATGACTTACCAAAGATCTTAATTAACAATCCTAATGAATTTTGGCAAGTTATAAATCCCCAAGAGACGCGCATCATTAGCCTGACGAACGGAGCGGGCGAAATAGTCACTGACACTGAGTGACCCAATGCTTTTAACTCCGCCTTCTTTTCCGTGTTTACCGGAGAAACCGATGCCCCTTCCCCTTTAATACCTTGTAACGCAGTATCTACTATGCCAACTCTCACATTCTCTGTAGATAGCATCTCATCATTAATTGAAAATATCAAACTCTCATCGTCAGCCGGCGTTGACGGAATTAACTCAAAACTTTTAAAAAATACCAAACGTATATCTGTTGTGTACATGACCATGTTGTTTTCACAGTCACTTTCTACAGGCATCTTACCGGACGACTGGAAGGTGGGAAGGGTCGTTCCAGTTTAAAAATCGGTTAACAAGGACTCCCCACTAAATTACCGTCCCATCTCTTTAACAAGCGTCCCCTGCAAAGCCATGAAACACGTCATCTACACTCAAATAATTAATTTCCTAGACTCTATCGACTTTTTGCACCCCTCCCAGCACGGGTTTCATAAGGGCTTCTCTTGTGAAACTCAGCTTGCCCTCTTCGTTCATGACTTGCATTTTAATCTTGACCATAACCTTCAAACTGACGCGGTTTTTTTAGATTTTGCCAAAGCATTCGACAAAGTACCGCACCAGCGCCTCCTACTAAAACCTTCCCAATTAAACTTAAACACTGCTGTTCTTCAATGGGTCAAGGAATTTCTGTCTAATCGGTCTCAGTTTGTCTTGGTTAACAACCACTCATCTAACCCTCTCCCAGTAATATCAAGCGTCCCACAAGGATCTGTCCTCGGCCCCCTCCTGTTCTTAATATACATAAATTACTTACCATCGCATCTGTCATGCCACATTCGTATGTTTGCGGATGACTGCGTTATTTATCGTACAATCACTAACACCTCTGACCAGACATGCCTGCAGAATGACCTTAACGATGTGCAAGAATGGTGCGACGGTTGGCAAATGACCCTTAATCCCAGCAAATGTAAACTTGTATCATTCCATCGTCGCCGTAAACCCTTCTTTTTACCTATACAATGGCTAGCGTAACCGTCGAATCTGTACAATCATTTAAATACCTAGGTGTAACACTGTCGAACGATTAATCTTGGCGCGCGCATACTACCAACGTCATATCAGCCGCGAACAGAGTCCTTGGATTTCTTAAACGTAATCTGCGCCATGCCCCGAAGCACGTACGTTTACTTGCGTACAAATCACTTGTTAGATCAAAACTCGAATACACATCTGCCATCTGGAACCCTCACCAAGCATATATTACTAATGAACTTGAATCTGTTCAAAACCGATCCACTAGGTTCATTCATTCTGCCTACTCATACGATATCAGCGTTTCATCCTTAAAAGCAGAATCCGGCCTGACACCTCTCTCTCTTCGCCGTCGCACTTCCAGCCTCTCCCTCTTTCACAAGTTTTACTACAGCTCGCTCAACCATGCACCTTACATTGTGCCCCCATCACGCATATCTCCGCGCATTGGTCATCCAAATCAAGTAACACTCCTACGTGCCCGCACTACTACTTTTTTAGCCTCCTTTTTTTCTCAAGCAGCAGCAGACTGGAACGGCCTTCCCCACCACGTCGCCGCCATCACATGTCCGTCCGTATTCATGGAGACTGTCGTGAACCACCTTCCGACATGAATGTCTGCTAAAAATACTTTTATATGTAACCCACCCCTTATGTAATACCCCTAACGGGGTCTTTAAGGTAATAAAATAAAATAAAATGAAATGAAATGAAATTTATTCGCAGGGTCCATCGCAAAGAGTTCTGGCTTCAGCCGCTATGCTAGGCAGTGTTAGCAGATCGAGAGCTTAGCTCTGCACAATACGCCTGCAATGTCGTGGCCTACCACAACGGTTCTTGCGCCAGTGCGGAGCAGCTTTGACCCAGAAGAGTCAACTCCGAAACCCGCTAGCACAACACAAAACTTCGACGAGAGCGTTGAGGAATTGCTCAAGACGCCACAAGGTTCGAGACGACACCTGCCAAATTTTGGTGGATGTTCGTCTACAATCCATGCGTCTACTCCTGTGACGTTTCTGACGACCTGTGGTTCCAGCGATACATCAACGGCGTACAAGAGACTTACAAGTTGGTCCTCTATTCAAACAGAAAAATTATCAATCGCATTTCGGTAAATGGTTACAATTCAAAATCAAATTATTCAATCCACCTCTTATAGCTGAATATTCTGAGTCATTACTACAAGCTGTTGCTGTCTCTCATATTGCACGATAGCTTAATGTCTTAACATAAGCGATAGCTTAATGTCATAACAGTTTTAGTTAGTCTTGCGCCACTTCTTGAGAGTGTTGACAAGGGGGAAAGTCTTGGAAAACTTTTCGGAGGGGTTTGAACTCTCCCTATTCCCCACTCTGCCTGCGCCATTGTCTCTAGCTCAAACAGAGCCACGAGCAAAGTTCTGAATCAAAACAGAGCTGCCAGTATATTTTAGCTCTGAAAAGGGAGCCGCTGTTTCACAATTGCAGTTCCGTAGGATAGTTTTGAAGTAATTAGAATGTAATTTTGTAACATCCATCTATGTCACCTACTGCAATCTGGTGTGTATATTTCCACGAGCCAATCGCACTCACTAACACCCGCGGGGTAGGAGGCTCGCAACAATCGCGTCTTTATAAAGCGTTCGGTCCCATGGCTAATTCTTCATTCATAAATCTAGATATAACACATTCACCAGTAACTCAGTGTTATAATATGAAATGTGACAATTCACGGTTATGATCATACCGGCATGCTATATCCGAGATTCGTTGAGGTTCATGAAGAGCAAGATGTAGATTGCTTCGGACAACCTGGACAGGTGCCACCAATATCGGTCGGGTAGGATGTTAATGGTGCAGGGCAAGCTGTAGAACAACAGCCTCAGTCTCCACTCACTCTCCTTCCAGAACCCACGTTCCGAAGGGGCTCGTGGCAGTCGTGTGAAGCAATGGGGTGGCCGTATACTCAGCAGGCGCTTGTTAACCAGCCTCAGAGAAGCTGGTCTGCCTGTAGGGAAACAAGTGCAGGGATAGGTCCTGTTAGTACTACATCCCTGTGTTATCATAGATTGGCTTTTCCAGAGATCCATTCACATGACGTGTATTGTAAGTTTGCATCATCATGCAAAAGCACAGTCTACTTTTTGGAATATTCATCAAGGTATTCATGCCTGACAGGATATCATAGCTAAAGCAGGTAATTGCAGTGTGCTTTGTCAAACTTATTGGAGCACTTCCAGAATATTTAAAAAGTTTTAATCACAAATCTAGTAAAAAATTCTACTTTAAGGACAGCCTGTAGTTTTCCCCACAGAAGCTGTAAATACAAGAAATTAGGCCAAATGGTCTGGTGGGAGGCTTGTCCCCTGAACCAGTTACATGGTTATGCCGCAGTGGACCGCTAGCTATGATACTGAAAATATATAGAAGTCACAAAAAATTACCATGCATGAAACTATTCATTTTAGGGGTGGGATGGAATAGCTATTGTCATTTATAGGTAACTAGTGAGGAAATGAGTCGTAAATTGTTTTGCCTGGAATAAGGAGGCAAAGCGGCCACATTTGAGCTGTCTGAGCTTTTCGATCACTCACATCTGTATTTTAAAGGGGCACTAAAGATGGTTCCGATATCGTCTATTCTTTGTCATAACTAGGGTTGCATGTTTTCGGTATATCCCGATAAGCACTGAAAAAGTAACCCCCGAAGGGTTTTTCTCGAAATGTGTAACAACAAATAATCCTGAATTGTAGCACCCATGAAATAAGAAAAACCCCAGCTTTGCGCA